GACAGAGAGACAGAAAGCGAGAAATCACCCCCCAGGGGGGATGGCCACCCCGCAATCCCTTCTTCTCCATTCTCCTCTCGGAATCTTGGGCACACATGCACACATGCCTGGCGTGAGTTTAAGCCACTGAGTCTGGGACTTGACCCGTGATCGACTACATGGGAGGCCAGCAACATAGCCGTTACGCCAACTGCTGGTTTCATTAGCTTTCACTTTCAACTTTTTATTAGCAATAATGTTTTGAGGAGCTTGACAAGAGATTTCCTCAGTATCAGGACTGTCTTTAATGAAGTTGAGGAAAGTATTTTCAGGCCAAAAGACAAAAAAAACTATGTTGACCCATTCTCTAACTTCGCCCATCACTTTTATGTATTTATTGCTTACCACCCAAGCAAATATATGTATAGGTGGAGGACCAGGACTCTGCTTCTCCTAGAAATTAGGGATTCTACTCCCACTATCTTCTTCCATTTCATAACTTACGGATGTTCTAGCCAGGACTTGAAAAAAACACTATATCTTATAGGAAAATATATATTGGGTCATTGGAAAAGTCATGATGTATTTTTCTGTTTTTCCATGCAAAAGTGTGTCATGACTTTTCCAACAACCCAGTAATATTGGAGTTTTAGCCTCTGAAATTCAACTATTGGTTTACCATTTTCTTTGGGCTCTTACTCCTAAGGACCTTCTGGTTTCCAGCTCCTAATCTGGAACTCTGTTTGGAATCTCTACCCTGTTATTCCCTCTGTCCTTTCTGGTATTGGCTTAATATGATTTCTTAGTTTTTCCAGATAACTAAGAGTTAGCTAACTAGGATGAATAAACCATAGATTGGAGCAAGCCCAAATTTATTTTGCTTTCTCAACCTGGTGCCCTGGAAAAACAGCTGCAGCCATTTCATATCCATGAGAATAGCCATGTGCCCCCAAAGCTCAATTTTTGTTTCATAAGTGAAATCCTCTTGTGATAAAATAATTATGATCTACCCCTTACTAGTGGTCCCTTTGTAAGGCTAAGTTGTTAGATTTTAACCACTTTTCTAGGTCATGTGTTTTGGTCCCTTCAGACGTGTTTTTCATGTTCAATGCCACTTCTCACCTAAGAGCTTAGCTCTTTAGTGACTGATTGAACTTAGGATCTGTTCTCTATAACAGGAAATCCCATTTCTCAGTCTGGGTGAGTCTCAGCAATCTTCTCCTTATTTCGCCTTTGTCTGGTTCCCACAATTGATTAGTTTTCACTAAACAAAGTGTTCATAGCTATGCAAGACTACATATTTCATTTATAAGTTTGCACTTCATTGTGTACCCATAGTAATATTCAGAATAAATAAAAATGATGATGCTAAATTTATGTTATTGTGCTGTGGTGTGTCTTGTCATTTTCTGGCACTTATCTAATATATGTTTTTTGTATGGATAGAATTAAATTATTCTCATGTAGTATTGAAAAATACATACCCTGGGACCAGCAGTTAGTGTAAAATGGCTATGTTGCTGAACTCCCATGTAGTCAACCACGGTTCAAGTCCTGGACTTAGCGGCTTAAACTCACGCTGGGCGCATATACGTGCATGTCTAAGATCCTGAGAAGAGAATGGAGGAGAAAGGATTGCGGTGTGGCCATCCCCCCTGGGGGGTGATTTCTCGCTTTCTTTCTCTCTGTCTTCATCTGTCTTTCTGGTGAGTGCATGCGCCTTGTAGCAAACACCTCTCCAAAAAAAAAAAGGAAAAAAAAAAAGAAAAATATATACCCTGTGATACTACAACACACCACCAGACATCTGTCTTTTTTTTTCTTTTTTCTTTTTTTTTTTTTGGAGAGGTTTTTTTCACTACAGGGCGCATGCGCTCACCATACAGACACAGAGAGACAAAGAGACAGAAAGCAAGAAATCACCCCCCAGGGAGGATGGTCACGCTGCAATCCCTTCTCCTCCATTCTTCTCTCGGGATCTTGGGCACGCACGCACACGCGCCCTGCGTGAGTTTTAAGCCACCGGGCCCAGGACGCAAACCGCCGTCGACTACGTGGGAGTCCAGCGACATAGCCATTACGCTAACTGCTGGTTCCCTTCTTTTTTTCTTGAGAGATATTTGCTATAGGGCGCGTGCACTTACCAGAAATACAGAAAGCGAGAAATCACTCCCCAAGGGGGATGGCCATGCCACCATCCCTTCTCCTCCATTCTCCTCTTGGAATCTTGGGCACGCATACACACGCACCCAGTGTGAGTTTAAGCCACCAAGTCCTGGACTCAAACCTCAGTCGATTATATGGGAGTCCAGCAACTTAGCCATTACGCTATCTGCTGGTCCCCAGACATCTGTCTTTAAGCTTATTTGTTTGTTTTTTTAAATAATTTATTCCACTTTATTTATTGTTATTATTTTTTAATTTGCTGTAGTGCACATGTGCTTACCAGAGACACACACTCACACACACACAGAGAGAGAGAGAGAGAGAGAGTAAAAAAGCAAGCCATCAGGTCTGGGACTTGAACCGTGGTCAGCCATGTGGGAGTCCAGCACCTTAGCCACCATATCACCTGCCGGCCCCAGCTCCTTGTTTTGTGACCAATTTGTTTATTGACTTGGAATATGGTCGTTAAGTGAGAAGCTCAATGTATCCCAAATTGCTGTAAGCACCTTCTTCAACCTATTTCCCTTTTTGGTTATTAAAACCATTTTAGATGCCCAAACCAAAAACTTGTATTGTATCTCCATCTCTGTATTGAATCTCTCTTCCATGTCATGCATGTCATTCTTATGAAATTGTTTGTCTGTGTTTCCTCACATCTCCTTGAGTTTTGTTATAATTGATATTCTGAAAAACATTTCTGACATTACTTTGACTGCCTGCATTTTAACCATTGTGAGTGAGTAGTCACTGTGTTCCTTTGGAGGAAAGCTATTTTCTTATTTATTTATTTATTTTTTATGTTTCTTAAATTCCTCATCTGGTGGAATATTCACATAAATTATGGGTTAGGTTTCACAGTAGCAGTATTTTGAATTTTTATTTCGTCTCTTTATTTTTCCTATGTCTCTGTCTTTTGCTACTAGTTGACTTGATCAGATTGGCTTTGGTTCTGGTTAAGCTTAGTATAGAAGTTTTTGTGTATTTTCAGAGGTACCAGTAAGGAACTCTGGGCCTTTATTTTGGATTATAGGTGAGGTTAGTATGTACTGGTGTTCCACATATAGAGGGGGTGGGTTCCCTTTATCTGAGATCTATGCTTCCCTGTAGAGTGGTTGTCTGTGGGGTTTTTTGTTTTGTATTGTTTTGTTTTGTTTTTGAGAGGTTTTTGCTATAGGGCGTGTGAGCTCGCCAGACAGAGACAGAGAGACAGAAAGCGAGAAATCACCCCCCAGGGGGGATAGCCACACCGCAATCCCTTCTTCTCCATTCTCCTCTCGGGATCGTGGGCATGCACGCACAGGTGCCCGGTGTGAGTTTCAAGCCACCGGGTCCGGGACGCAAACCGTGGTCGACTATATGGGAATCCAGCGACATAGCCATTATGCTAACTGCTGGTCCCTCCTGTCTGTGTTTTTTGACCCACAGGCAAGAACTGCCCTTTGGAATAGGGCAGGACAGACCAAGGGTCCCAGTGACTCGAAAACAAGTAGACTGGCATCCTTGTTCACTCCTCTGTCCCTGGGACCCTCAGGGAGGTCCAGAGAAACTGCACTGAAGAAGGCAATGGTAGAGGGAAGTATCCCTGATATCCTGAGTCTGGAGAGCAGAAGGGGGAGTGGGAGTGTTTGGTTCTGCTTATCAGTCAAGGAGAGAATGTCCAGGTTTAGCTCCTGAGATGTCATCTTGTGCTTAGGACTTCAGCGTAGGGGGAGTTCAGTGTTCTCTCTGGGACAGCAGATTGTTGCACTTCCCCAAGATGAACATAAGGTCTGTGACAGTCTCAGTGCGTTCTTTCCTTTTCCTCAGTGCTGGAGTCCGAGGTGGAAGTGGTGACCTAGGAGCCTCAGAGGGCAACCTGCTCCCCACCTCACCCCCAGTCCCCAGTGTGGGAGGCTTCCTTTGGCTCCAGTTCCTTTCTGAGTTTGGATAGTTGATCTCTGTTTTATGCCACCCACTTGAGACTCAGTGCCTCCAAAACTTCCCATAGTCCTGTACTCATTTTCCATTGGTCTCAACTCACTCTTCTTCTGGAGTTGCAGCCATTTATACAACTTTTGAAGGCTGTTCTCGTGGAGGGATGTCACATAGATGGCCCTAGTTGGCGACCTAGTCCTGGTCTTAAAATTCATTAGTAATTGTCCTTAAGAGAAAGTCCAAACTCTAATATGGCCTCCTAGGTAATACCTACTAAGGTAACCTGCCTCATTTTTGTGCTACCTTTTGATATTACATTCTATGCCTCACCCATACTCCTTGTACTACCATATTCGTCTTCTAAATTTCTGTACTGGCAGTATTTTAACATTTGCTCTTTCTATATTTTGACTAGGTAGCTTAATTATTACTTCTTTAGGGAAATTTTCTTTGAGTCCCCAAACTAAACTATTTGTCCTAGCTGTATGTCTTTTTATGTTAGCACTTAGTATCTATTACTTTTCATGTGATGGCACTTAGTGCATTTTAATTTTAATTACTTGTTAAATCTGTACACTGTAAGCTCTGTGAGGAAAGAAACATTGCTATTTTACATGTTGTTCTGAGCTATTAAAAGATGGAATGGACTTTCTTGGGAACTTAGGTTTTTTGTTACTGGTAGTATTCCATGAGTATGTTGAATAGCCCCAAGTTGGGAATGGAAACGTTTTAATTTCTTTCCAGTTGAGAGATTGTTCTTTCCAAATATGCAAGGTACACATACATAGCAGCTTTAAAAGACTTTATGAGTCAATGTAGAAGAATTTCATCTAAATGAAAATATCAACTATTCAAGGACATGTAGAGAACCTAGGATATTTCTAATGTGGACCATTATATCTAGAATTTTTGAAATTAATGTTTTATTTTGTCTTTTATAGGTGAAATGAATCAGAAATACAAGGAGCTAAAAAAAAGAGAGGAAAACATGGACAGTAAGTGATAATCTAAAATATTTCAGGGCTTACCGCATGTGCTGTGCAGAGGAAGCTGGATTCCATACGACTGGCCGGTGTTTGAGTCCTAGCTGCAGCAGGTTGGAAAACATGCTAGGGCACATGTGCACATGCTCAAAAAATCCCGATAGAATAGAGAATTGGAGGAACAAAGATTTGCAGTGGCTAATAGATGCAGAAGTATAGGTGTTCAGCATTTTGCCCTGAAGAATAACTGAATTTCTAGCATAATTTAGGTTGGATAGAGAATTCTAGAAAGTATGTATACATTTTTTTTTCTTTTTTAGATATTTGCCATAGGGCACATGCACTCACTGGAGAGAGACAGACGCAGAGAGAGAGGGAAGATGAGAAATCACTCCTGAGGAGAGAGTTGGCCACACTGCAATCCCTTCTCCTCCATTTTCTGTTGGGCTTTTGGGCCAGATGCACATGCGCCTGGCACAGGCCCTGGACTCGAACTGCAGGGGTGACCATGTGGGTTCTGGTGCCTTAACCCCCAACATCACCTGCTGGTCCTATATGTTTATATTGGAGATAAATTCAAAAACTAGTACTTATATTCATAGTCTGAATAGAGAGACCTGTAGAACATTTATTAATTGAATTCTGAGAGTTCTCTTTTATATGCTTCACCATGTTTGACTTTAATAGCTTTCACTTTTTTTTTAGCTTTTCATAATATTTATTTCATTATTTCTTAGCCCTCGTCTCAAAGCTTGTTACTTGGTTCTGTCAGCATCTCTAACTTTAGTTTTTCATATTTTCTAAGGATTTATTTATTCATTATTATTATTATTTAATTTGACCAGAGAGAGAGAGGGAAAGTGAGAAAGCAAGCCACCAGATCCAGTAATTAAACCACAGTCAACCATGTGACAGTCCAGCACCTTCACCACACCACTTGTCAGCCCCCCTTCATTCACTTTTTTAATAATATGAACTTGACTTTACAAACAAATCTTTACTTAAACTTACATGTACAATTTATAACTATTTAAAATTGATGTATGCTATTACTGGTGTCCTTTAAATTTATTATTTTACTAGAATCTGAAGTTTTATAGGTCTGATGTCAATTCTTACATTCACAGTGGCATGCTCTAAAGTAGTCACTGTTAATTCTGATTTTTACACTTTTGCCATATTTAAAATCTCCACAAGTACCAAAATAATCTCAGAATTATGATTACTTTTTGAAGACAGATTCTTACTATATTATAGTCTTCCTACATCAGCCTCCCAAGTACCTGAAGGGGACCAGAGGCATGCGCCACCACATCTACCTTTTTAAAATTTGTCTAGCTCTGTTGTCCAGACCAGCTTTGAGCTGATGGCCCTCCTGCTTCAATCTCTAGAGTAGCTGGAGCACCACATGCGTGCCACCACACCCACCCTCCCTCTGTCCTTCTCCCTTCCTCTCATCTTCCTCCTTTTTTCTTCCTCCTCCTTCTTTCTTCCTCTTTCTTCTTCCCTTTTTTTAAAAGTGCTTTTGATAAGGAGGAGTATAAAAAGGAATGATGTGTTCCAACTCTACAATATTGTAAATCACTATGTACCTAGTATGCCTGTCTCTCATGTAGGTGTCCCACAATAAATGTCTACTGAATGTATTAAAAGAATTTCTGTGCTGCAGAATCTTAGAATTGGAGGTCATCTATTCCAGATTTCTTTTCAAGTGTTATTTTTGTGTTTTTTTCCCCCAATAAAATAACATCTGAAACATAATGTTTATTTATGCCTCTGTATGTGTAAGAATCTGATAAACCACTTAATATGTAATCATTGGATTACAGAAGCAGTATATTCATAGCTAAGACCTGTATTTAGATGGTGAGGCAGGACATTTAAGAAAATTCAATTCTTTAAAACATGTTGTGGTAATCTGCTATTTATTCAAATAAAAGCATTTTTCTTGAATACTATTTAAATTAAAAAATACATTTGGGGCCAGCAGGCGGCATGGCATGGTGGTTAAAGTGGCTAGATTCCACATGGCCAACTGTGCTGTTTGAGTACCAGACAAAGCAGCTTGAAAAACATGCTGACACATGTGCATGTGAACTCAAAATCCTGAGGAGAGTAGAAGTTAAGGGACTGTGGTGTGACCTTTCCTCAGGGGGTGATTTCTCATTTTCTCTGTTTCTCTCTCTCTCCTCCTCTGTCTCTCTTTAGCAAGCACATATTCCCTATTGCGAAACAATGGAATCCATTACAGAAAATAAGCCATATTGATATTTGTTTTATGTTACTGATAAAAGTATTTTTAGTCAAAAATTATCATTTTTATTTATTTATTTATATTTTCATGAGCTGTGTGCTTGCTAGAGAGAGAACATACCCTCCCAACAGGGCATGGTCACACTGTAGTTTCTTTGCCTCTACTTCTTCCTGTCAGGATTTTAGGCACACATGCACATGCACCTGGCCTATTTTCCAATCTGCCAAGGCTGCAGTTGAAACCACAGTTCACCTTTTGAGAATCAGCAGCCAATGCATAGATAGCACTGTGCAACAGCCCGTAAGTATTTATTTTTGAAGTCCCATAAAAATACTTGAAGAACATAAATAAGAGCAAATTTTGTACTGGTTCTATATTAGACAATTAAAAAGATGATTTCCTAAATATTTATTTATAACCTGAATACATTATTAAATATGAGATTAACCCAGCGTTACAAGTAAAATGCTCATTTTTCAGATAAATAGGCATTTAGTAATGTTATTTTTCAGAAACAAAGTTAGTGGCCACTAGTGTTAGTAATTGTACATATGTCAAGGAGGTATCATATAAAAACAGAGTTTTTCCTGATCTCCATCTTATTAGCCGTTTCTCTGGAGCCTATACTTAAAACATTCTAGTTTCTCATTTCAAGTTCATACAGATAGACTTTAAAAGTTTGAAAGTATGTGTTTCTCAGCCTTTAGCTGTGATCAAGTGTAGTTGGAAAGCATGTAGAAATGTTAAGGAATAATTATCATTGGGTTAAAAACAAATTGAACAACGGTACTTTAAAATCTGTATTTGTTTTAAATTTCTAAAAATTACTCTTAAGATTTACAAATCAGAGTTTATGTAATGTTAGCTATGTCAACAGCAGCTTCTCTTATCATGTTTTCCAATCGGCAGCTTTTATTGAGACTTTTGAGGAAACGAAGAATCAGGAACTGGAACGGAAGACACAGATAGAAGCCAACATTGTTGCACTTTTGGAGCACTGTAGTCGTGTAAGTACCATGTGCCTGTCGTGGTATACTCATTATTTTTACTGTGATTAACTTTCCAAATACAACTCAAAAAAGAATTGCTCACTATTATGTCTGCTCATCTAAACTGTTTCCTTTAAATTCTCTTGCTTGCTATTTTCTTTCTTTGAGCTATTTGTATCTTTCTAACAAAATGTCAGCTACTTAGGGTATTAGGGGACAGGAAATCAGTATAATATCAATATTCAGCAGTAAGTGAGGTACTTATTCAGAGTACTGAGATTTTATTTTATTTTTTGCTATAGGGTGGGGGCCACCGTGCCCCCATGATTTTATTTTATAGTTAAGCCCCATCTGAACCATATGAATAACATTTGCACAGATAATTTCAAAACCTAGACATTATATTGGAAAATGTTAATATATTTTTATACCGTAATTTGTATTGCAAATAAAGGGATTTATTGGAGCGTTTTCAAGAGTTTTATAGGAGAGTTAAATCCATGGAATTTTTTTCTTTTATTTCTATGCAAATACAGAATATAAATCGTATGAAACAGATATCCTCTATCACCAATCAAGAGCTAAAGATGATGCAGGATGACCTCAATTTTAAATCTACTGAAATGCAGAAATCACAGAGTACAGCTAGGAATTTGACATCAGGTGAGAAAATGACCTAGATTTTAATATTAGGTAACAAATTAGAACCTTAAAATTTTATTGTTACTCTCTTTGATTTCTTTTGAAAGCCTCATTGACTAAAGATGTAATTTATGGTTGCCTATTGCCCCAGTGATTTATAGTTTCAGAATTTGGTGTGACTTTTTCTCATAAATTTAATAATATTATATTAGTATATTTGCATTCATTTAACAGTATTTATTGAGTATTTGCTCCATGCCTGTTCTATATCCTGGATATTATTGAGAAGATTAAACAATGCCAATGCTAAAGTGGTAAGGACAGGCTTTAATTAGTGATACAGTATTACACTGGAAAAGAGGGGCCAGTATGGACTGAACTAAACTTTGATTATATAGAGGTAACTGGGAATTTTAAAGGAAGAACAGAGGAGTAAGGAGAGTGGTAAGACAGGGCTCAGTAAAGAAACTAAAACATTACAAAAGGCTGGTCAGTGTAAACACTGATTAGCCAGTTGTGTCTGTTACTTTGGCAGTTATCATAGTTGGGATTCTGTTTTTCTACAAAGACTGGGAGACTGAGGCCCTGACCTCTCTGGTGATTACATTTTAAAGAAACAGCTGTCAGGTCCTTGAGAAACATAGCCCTGAGTTTTAGAGGATTTATATACATATTGAACAGTCAGAGGACAGATTCACAATTGTAAACCCTTTTAAGTACATACTCTAAGAAAAGGTGGTCAGGGTCCTGTAGTCAGGTGTTCGCTAGAATAAACAGCAAATTTCTTTGGCAGCCTTGAGCTTTTTCAGGCAGACACTTTTAAGGAGCACTAGACTCATCCTAGGGATGCATCTTTAAGCTGTTAAAAACCTATCTTAGCGTTTGACTCTTTTCATATAGTTGGGATGAAATAATTTGTATCTAGAGATTTTTTTTTTTCTTTCTGTTTTGACAGAGGGCACGTGTGCTCACCAGAGATAGAGACAGTGAGGAAGCACCCCCAACCCCCCACCAAAAATAGTCTTGTTTTAATCCCTTTTCTTCCATTTCTCCCTCCTTTTGGGATTTTGGGCACACATGGCACACACGCCTGGCAAATATCTCAATCCTCTGGGTCTAAGATTCGCACTGGGCAGTTGACCACATGGGATCCAGCATTTTGACCACCTGCAACAGGCTGGCCCGAAAGTCTGCACATTTTTTTTTTTTTTTTAAGAGAGATTTTTGCGATAGGGCATGTGTACTTGTTGGAGAGAAAGACAGCGAGAAATCATCCCCCAGGGGGGATTGCCATGTGACAATCCTTTCTCCTCTTGGGATTTTGGGCATGCATGCACATGCGCCTGATGTGAATTTTAAGTTGCCAGGGCCAGGACTCTAACCGTGGTCGACTACGTGAGAGTCCAGCAACATAACCATTACACCATCTGCTGGTCCCAAGTCTGGACTTTTTATCGGCCCAGATTGAGGCCTCGTTAAGGCAATCAGAAGAAACTGGCTAGCGTATGGTTCAAGAGAGAATCTTTATGATTATACAGAGGTTTGAAAAAAATTTCAGTCTGCTTCCTGAAGGAACTTTCAGCCTCGCGGAATGATAATTATAATACCGTGAGATAATGCTGTAATAGAAATAAGCATTAAGGAGCACTAGAAATTCATAGGGCATAAATTCAGCCCAGTTTTGGACAGCTAGGAAAAATTTCTGGAGGAGGTGATGTTTAATTTTAATTACTCTGGCCACTCTTACTAGCATGTAACTACAGCAGCACTTGTCCAAGAGGAATAGAATGCACTGCACATACATAATTAAAATTTTCTAGTAGCCATGTTAAAAAAGTACAGTGGTGAATTTTAATAATATATTTTTGTTTAACTAAATATGTCAATATTTATCATTTCAATGTAAATCTATAAAAATGACAAATGAGATATATTATACTTAGAGCATTTCAATTTAGACTAGACACATTTTCTTACTTTTAAATTGCTATAAGGTGAGCGAGCTCACTGGAGTGAGACAGGCAGAGAGAGGGAGAAAGGAAAAGTGAGAAAGCATCATCTGGAGTCATGGCCATGCTGTAGTTCCTTCTCCTCTAGTCTCCTCTTTGGATTTTGAGCGCACTTGCACATATGCCCCATCTAGGACTTGAACTCATAGTTGGCCATGTGGGATTCAGCTACCTTAGCTACCACTCTTTTGGATGGCCATGTACTTGACACATTTCAAGTGCTCAGAAACTACATATGGATAGTGGCTGTCTTTGAGATGATGCTGGTAGAGATTAGAAGTAAAAGTATAAAGTTGAACCGAAGAAGCCTATAATAAAATCATGTAAAAATGCATTGAATCTTTGGTTTGTGAAATAGTGAAATCTATCTATGGATGTTCTTTGTTGTTGCTTTGTTTGTTTGAATTTGGCAGAGGACACATGCACTAGCCAGTAAGAGACCCTCCAAAAGTTACTGTAGGTAAATAGGTACACAGTACATCTGTGATATGACAATTTCAGGGAAAGAAGGCCATAGGGGGAAAAGGATACAAAGGGTTCTTAGGATGCCAATAATTAAAGGAAAAAAAATGTTGAGAAACACTGGTGTACTCCATGGGTAAAGAGGTAAGGAATCTGTCAGCAATAGTTTTTATTTATATTTTTGGAAAGGAAACTACAGAGAGTAAACAAATGTGCTGATGGCAGAATATTTCAGAAACACTTCCCCAGGTCAAAGTGGTTCCTTCTAAGATTTTGCTCATATGTACACACTGCTTGGTAAACTTTGTAACTTCATAGCATATCAGAAGGAACTGGACTGCATCCTCTTCCTGTCTCTTCCCTTGGAGAAACTTTTAGCTTTTCATGAGGACCTGTTGTGAAAGGAAGATAAACTTTACCTAATACCAACCATTTTCTTCTTTTCTTTAGAAAAATCAGTTTGTATAGTTCTTATATGTATTTTCCTAGTGTATATTTAAATTAAATTTGCAGTTAGATTTTTACAGCTGCTTACTCCAAACAATAAAAATAACCACAACCTAAGCATATTTCCTATTTAGAGCATTAAAACAAAAGCCTTGGTGACATGTTCAACATTTTGATTCTTACTATAACTATTTCCAACCCTTGAAATGGAAGATACTGATATGAATCCAACAAAATATTGATAAAACTCTTTGCAACATTTATATCCTGATACAAACACATACACACAGATATTTAGTATCATGTGTCAGTATAGTTGAGTTTTAAAACTTAAAAGGTGGGACCGGGACCAGCAGATGGCGTAATGGCTACACTGCTGGATTCCCTTCCGTTGCTAGACTTGACCGCAGTTCGAGTCCCGGACCTGGTGGCTTGAACTCATACCAGGCGCATGTGTGCGTGTGCCCAAGATCCCAAGAGGAGAATGGAGAAGGGATTGCAGTGTGGTCATCACCCCTGGAAGGTGATTTCTCACTTCTGTCTCTCTGTCTCTCTCTTTCTTTCTGGTGAGTGCATGTGCCCTATAGCAAAAACCTCTCAAAAAAAAAAAAAAAAAAAAAGGTGGGCCCAACAGGTAGCATAGTGGTTAAGGCACTGGACTCTGATGTGGCTAACTGCAATTCAAGTTCTAGACCTGATGGCTTGCTTTCTTACTTTCCCTATCTCTCTCTCTCTCTCTCTCTCTGCTATAACATTTTAAAATAATAAATAAAATTAAATAATAATTCTTTTTTTTAAAGATTGAAAAACTCAAAGGGATAAAAGAAAACCATCATTTAATTATGCCAACTTAAACATTTTTAGCTGGATAACGATCTCTTTTCTTAAATCAATGACTTTCAGAGCATTTTTTTAACTCTTTATAGTCATTTAATATGAATACTAAATACTGGTTAATATTCAGTATACTGGAGACCAGCAGTTAGTGTAATGGCTATGTTGCTAAACTCCCATGTAGTCGACCACAGTTCAAGTCCCAGACTCGGTGGCTTAAATTAACACCAGGTGTGTGTGCGTGCGTGCCCAAGATCCTGAGAGGAGAATGGAGAAGGGATTGCAGTGTGGCCATCCCTCCTGGGGGTGATTTCTTGCTTTCTGTCTGTTTCTGTCTTTCTAGTGAGCGCACGTGCCCTATAGCAAAAACCTCTTAAAGCAATATTCAATATACTGAACTTCTCTTATTTGCTAAGTGTTACTGTGTTTTCTTACCTCTAGCCTTTGCATATGTTCATCGTTCTCTGAAACAGTAGTTATCGTCTCCTGTGCTTAGCTGATTCCTGATACTAATAAGGCCACTACTTAAAGCATATCTTCAGAGAGCACTACTTCTGACCCCTGCCACATGTTCTTATGACATCCTGTACTATTTTAAATAGTTGTCCAGTTTATTGTTAATGTGTATGTGTATAATACTTTAGCTTTTTTCCCTGCATAATTATACATGTCATGCCCTTATTAGAAACAATGGATCATTATCTCCTAATAAGTTTTATTATTAAGTAAGAAAAACTCCTATGTATGTACTTTAACTTTATGGTAGCATGGAAACAGGTGTAGCTAATATTTATCAGCTTATATTGTTTACTGAGAAATGAGGGGTTTTTGTTTGCATTTTCGTTTGTTTGTTTTTTAATACGGCCTCACTGGTTCCAGCAAGGTTACATATATTTATTGGAATTTTTTTTTTTTGAGAGGTTTTGGTTTTTGCTGTAGGGCATGTGTGTTCATCAGAAAGACAGAGAGAGACAGAAAGACAGAAAATGAGAAATCACCCTCCACGGGGGATGGCCACACCGCAGTCCCTTCTCCTCCATTTTCCTCTTGGGTTCTTGGGCACATGCACCAGGCGTGAGTTGAAGCCACCGGGTCTGGGACAAACCACAGTCAACTACATGGGAGTCCAGCGACATTGCCATTATGCCAACTGCTGGTCCCAAGGTGGATTTTTTTTGGTGAGTGGGGGGTTTAAGTTTATTTCATGAGAGAAAGAGAAATAAGCATCCTCATGGAGTCTCCCACCTTTTCATAGTCAGCCAGGATCACAGACACGTATACCCTGCATATACAGTTCAACCCAGTAACTGAGCCCAGACCTTCCAGATTACTTCCAGGATTGTAGAGTGTTATACTACTGCTCTGCTACCATGGTTAGGCCTGGACATATATTTCTTCTGTAGGTTCTGTTATGAAAATGAGTTTTAATTGTTGCATTTTCTTATGTGAAAGGAATAAAGTTTGAGTTAATTATGGCCTTACATTTCTGCTTCAGACAGTCAACGTCTACAATTGGATCTGCAAAAAATGGAGCTTCTGGAAAGTAAGATGACAGAGGAACAACATTCTCTTAAAAGCAAAATTAAACAAATGACAACTGATCTGGAAACATATAATGATTTGCCAGCTTTAAAATCATCAGGTGAAGAAAAGAAAAAGGTAAATGCTAGCAGTCTTATTATAATTCAGATTTTTAATCACATTTAATACACTGTATATGTAGTTTATATGACTCATTTTCAATTGATTATATGGTTTATAAGCAATGAAAAAATTTAAAATGTTTACATATGAAATTAGAACTTAGAGTGACTTAAAGTTTTTATTTATTTATTTATTTATTTATTAATTCACTTTACACCATCACAACACACAAATGAATTTTCCATCCAAAATACACTGTGCATTGTCTCAATCAAGTACATCCACATATATGTTCTCAGCAAATAATTTTCCAATTCTTACGTCCTGCATACCTTACCCTTTGTCTTGCCATCCCTGATTCCCCATCCCCCACCCTCTGCTATGTCCCACCTT